GACTTTTCTTTCTTTTTTTTTTTGCCGGTCACGGGGCCTGAACTCTGGGCCTGGGCGCTGTCCCTCAGCTCTTCAGCTCAAGGCTAGTGCTCTACCACTGGAGCCACAGCGCCACTTCCGGCTTTTTCTGTTTATGTGGTGCTAAGGAATCGAACCCAGAGCCTCATGCTTGCAAGACATGCACTCTACCGCTGAGCTACCTTCCCAGCCCCCAAATCCTGACTTTTCTATGCTCAGCTTTCCCACTGTCTATTTGATGCTAAGCAAATCACATGACCCCCCCCCCCAGCCTTAGCTTCTTTTTGTATAAAATGTGGAAACTGAACATGGTAATGATTTTCTAGGCCCTCCTAGAATTACAGCACCTAGAAGGAAAACAGCTAAAGAATGAAAAAATAAATTAAGCTTAGAGTTAAGAGAATGTAACTCTGTCCCCGTATAAATAGTAACGTCTTTATTTTCCAAGAAGGAAAATGCTTGAGGGCATCTGGCTTCAGGAGGCAAGGCTGACTGCAGTGCCATCAATAGCTGAGCAAGAACAGCTAGTGAAGCAGGAAGGTGTTAAGAAAGCCTTGGATCAGAAAGAATAAAAAAGACTTGACCTTGCTTGGGCAATCAAGGATTACAACACAAAAGAAATCATCTGAAAAGCATAAACTGGGCCAAGAATATAAAAACCAAGGGCAAAAGAAGATGCTCCTAAGACACAGATATGATAGCATACATGATCAAAAAGAAAAAGACCGAAGAGCACACTTCATTGTTTTCTTTGCATCCTAAACTAATGGGGGTGGAGAGATGTAAATACATGCAGTATCTTGAAAGTAGCAGCAGCTGATTTCCAACAATGGAAAAAACAGTGCAGTATTCTTATCTTGTGAAATAAAAGATGAGAGTAGGGCACATTCTGGGTGGCAACATTCTAGACCCTTTAGCCACTAGAACCTCCCTTATATGATTTGGGGCAAAAAATAAAATGGTTTCTTTCCTTAAACTCCTGGATAGATGCCTTGACAGACTCAGCACAGATAGATCACTGCAGTCTGTGGTTTGTAAATTCCATTTTTTCTCTTGCCTGCCAGATCAACAACAAAAAGCACTATGCTTGGGAGACTCAAGACAGATGCCTTCCTTTCTCCTTTCTCCTTCTATCCCTAACTTAACAACCTATCAATCAAACCAAAGGCAAGGGAGCAGGCAGGAGCCTGAGTGTTCTGTCTTGTTTATTCCTCTCCTAACATCCCCTCCCCCATTTCTTCACTTGGCAGAAAGTATGAGGCAGGAGTGTTCAACAATTCAGGGCAGGAACAGTTGCTAAGAGCCATCTCTGGTCTTCCCTAGAACTCAGAAACAGCAGTGAGCCCTGCCAGAGAAGTGTGGTAGAATTAAAGTGGATTCCATGAAGAGAAATCCACATCCTCAGCTTGACAGAAAATTTCCTCAGCAACACAGCCTGAGATGCTTACCGTGATGAAAGAGAAGGCGCCTGAGATACATAATTTGAATATTCAAATTTCCCTCATTAGCTAGTACTCAACTTTTAACAAGTCCTGTTCCCTATTTGCAAGGGAGGGTTGGGGGCACTCTTCTTAAGACACGTTTCGAATTTTATGAGGTTCTCCTCTTAATGAGTTCCTAGTTTAGAGTATACAATTCCAGATTGCATCAAAACATCTGTTTTGCTGTTCTGGTTCTGTGGGTTGTCCTTGCAAAGGAACATTCCAAACCAGTTAGGCCACAGGCAAGCCTACATTTCAGAGAAAAATTTTAAGATTTTTTCAAAGACTTTGCTTATAAAACTATTAATACTAATCATCAACACTAAGAACCTACTATGTACAATATCTGGGGCTCTGGGGGAGCCCTTTTTTCTCAAAAGCTACAGCTCCACTGTAAGTCTCCTTTTCCCTTTTTCTTTCTTTTTTTTTTTAATGGGGGAAGGGGGAGGTTTTGTTGGGCATTGAAGGCCTCATACATGCTAAGCAAGATTCTAGCACTGAGCTACATCCCCCCCCCCACACACACAGTCCTCTTCCTTTCATCTTACCTCTTGCTCTCCCTTCCATTCCACAAATGTTTTTTCCCTGCACAGTATTTTCATCTCCTAGCAACTTCCAAACATTTACTTAAATATAAGACAATATGGTAATGCACCCTAGAATCAGTGTGTCCAAAGGGACTGAGTACAGGGAAGGAATTAAGAAAAATCAGGCTCTTACTTATAGTAACACCTAACTGCATATAAAATTTTCTGCTTCTCAAAGCACTTGCCAGATATTTTGTCTACCTTTTATCTCTCCTTTTATTACTTTGTTTTCTGTCTTTCCAGCATCTAAAACCTATAGCTTTGTCTTTCCAGTACGTCAAACTTAAAGCAAAGCTACATGATTAAGAGGCAAAACTTCCCAGCACTAAAGTGTATTCTTCGCTAAGTATTCTGCATCTCACTTATAATGTGAAGGGCAGCTACCTAACCAGTCACTGCATCTATGGGAGAAAAAATAGGTTCCATTTGCTTCTCTGAGATAATCATGGACATTTAGACTTAAATCCAATATGAAGCTAAGCTAAAGCTAATCCTTTCACCCACAGACTACAACTGGGTTTAGAAGATTACAACCTAAGTAGTCTAAAGGAGAAAAAATTGAAGACTACCATCTGATGTGCTTTTTAGCACAGGAAGAACAATGATTATGAACATAAATATATGGCAAAAGTTTCCGGAAGCCAGATGTAGGGAACAATCTAATGAATCTGGAACAGAAGCAAGAACTCCTGGTACTCCTAGGCCTCTTTAAAAGAGTATTATCCATCTGCACCCCAGAGAAAATGGCAAATCACAGCCAGCACAGAATGAACCATGCCAGTAACCAGCTGGAACCTGACTCTACTGAGGTGGACTACAGCATCTGCCACCGAAACACAGACAGCCTCTCTGGCAGCTGCCACTGGTGAAGGGGAATGAGCCATTGTGTTATTAGTGCAAGAAATTCACAGCCCCGTTACCAGAGATGCCCAGATGTTGCTAAAAGCTACAGATGTGCCAGAGGCAAAGACCAAAATACCTACAGCAATGAAAGCATGAGCTACTGCTAAAATCTAGGCACTGAGAGGGTACCACCACCCCAACATACACATACAGCCTTTATTTATTAACACTTACATATGGAAATAAGTATTCCCTGCTGCAGCTGATGTAATTACAGAGAAATCAATTTATTCTGACTACATCTGCTAAGATCAGCTAAATACAGGGTGAGCAGAGCAGAAAAATCAAGAGCCACTAAACAGTTCATCACAGGGCCAGCTGCTTTGGAGGAAATCATAAGCTGTTGAATTTAAGGCAACCTGAGCTGACCGGAGACTCATACCTACTCTGCTAAAGCCTGGTGAGTTCTATTTCCTGAGACATCAATGAAGATTATCTTCCCAGAGGAGGGACTTGGTCCTAACCTTTCCTGGGGCTACAGGCACCAACCCTTCCTTAGTCAAGCAGAAGACAGGGCATCATTACACTATTTGGCAGCTATAAAACCACCAGGAGACTTTGATTTCCAACAGTTGCAGGAGATAGCTGGCAAAGAGCTACACTTTCATGGGCCAAAGAATCTAGTCTAGGCCAAATTTTCATAGTCACAGAAGAAACTATAACCTGAGTACTTCACATTATAGTTAGTACCTCCCACCCCTTGTTTACCAGCCCTGAAACCATATCCCTTTGCTCTTTGGTAGCCACCAATAAACACTTGATAAATATGCCATGAAAATTAACCCTTTTTTCTGCTAGATACCCAGCATTATCATTTATCCCAATAAGAACAGCACTCAACTTACACATGTATCAAAAAAAAAAAGCCAATTAAACTTATCAACTCTTGTAATTCTGATGACAAAATGTCAGCCAAGCTGGAAACTATGCCAGCCTCTGGCAGCAAGTGTCTAAGGTGGGTCAATAACAAAGTAGAAGAACATTCATTCTACCAAGTAGCTGCCCCCAACAAGGGATATCCTATGCCAAAATGTCCAGGCTTGCTGCAAATGAGTCTGTAGGGAATCCTCTAATTTGGAACAAAACTACATTATCATTACCAGCTGCTCTGACCTTATAACTGGTCATTACCCACAAAGTAATGAGCCTCCCACAGTGTGCACAGTATTTGGCAGTTGGTCCAGGGCAGTTCTGTCTGGCAGTGGGCAGCCAGATCTGGCCACCTCTTACCTTTTCAGACTTGACTTTCTTTAGCGGGCGACACTCATTCTCCCCTTCCTCTTGCTCCGGTTTAGCTCCCAAAGGATTGAGCGCTGCTCCAGGCTCAATAGCTATACTCCCAAGCGGCTCCACAGCTCCTGTATCCACCCCTGCACTTGCATCATACTGACCACCCCGTCCTCCCAAAGAAACTGGCTGGAGGACCCCAGAATCCTTTTCTGAACAAGTCCCCACTCCTTCGCTTCTCTCCTTCTTGCTCTTAGAAGAGCTGTTCTCCTTTTCCTTTTTGGAGCCGGCTACACTGCGGGATGTCTTAGCCGCCTTCTCTGCGCCCTTGGGAGCAATAGTAGCAACCAGGCCTCCTGCATTGGCACCATCTCCTGAGCGTCCCTGCACCTCTTTCTTGCTAGCTGCCCCCTCACTTGGAGTGAACAAGGAAGTCCCTGGAGTGGGTTTGCTAGTGTCTTTGCCACTCTTATTCCTTTTGGATTTTGATTTGCCTTCCTTCCCTTGAGGACCTGGCACTGGGGTCACAAACTTGATGTTGTCTGGTAGTGTGGCCACAGCATTGGGAGCCGGTATCCCCACCTCCTTTGAGCCTGACATTTCCAGTTTCTGCTGGTCCTTTTCCAGATCGGCGTCCAGGTCAATGATGAGATTCCCTACTCCAATGTCCCATTCATCCCCACTGTCGTATGTCTCAACCGGGTTTGCATCCACTCCTTTCCCTCCGGAGGCTCCACTGCTCAAGGACATCTTAGAGTCAACGTCCCACCTCAAGATTCAAGGCTCTTCCTTGCCCCCAGCTTTCCTATTTTCAGCTTCAGCTATGTTCTCAGACCTGCCACCTTGGTCAGTACATGCCCAGCGGACAACATCATTGCTGGAAAAAGAAAATTTAAAAAGCTGTTAAAGGAAACAATACAGGCAAGAAGATAGCCTGAAATAAACTCCCACACAAAACAGACTCTTCTTCCTCTGTGGCTGGCACCTCACAGTGGACAAGACAAACAGGTTCAACTGTATTTTTAACATTGTCACATTGGATCCAGGGAAAAATTAATTCCCACACCATCTCCCCAGGGGAGGGTACAATGGTTCCAACTGCCCAGAGATTTAGGTGGTCAGTTTCAACTAGGAATCCTTGAAAGTTAGTTTCCCCATCCTGAAAACCTTGATTTCTATTATCTCTACCAGCTGATAATCCTAGTTCAGTCAGTACAAACCCTGGCATATAGCAGATTCTAACTATAGTGCAAGTTTGCTCACAACTCCCTTTGCCCTGCTTCTGGAATTATCAGAGTCAGAATGTGACCTAGCAAAAGCTTCAATAGCTCTCTACTAATAGAACATTCCCCTGTTAAAAATGGTATAAACTGATATTCTTACATTGAGGAGAAAAGCTTTATGATTAAGTTAAAGCTTTATGATTAAGTAAAAGAGAAAAGCAAGAAGAACTGGTGAAAATCCATTTCAGGACAGGGGCAAAGGCAGAAACTAGAGAAATAATTCTCGGACTCACTTATCTCCTAAGGCCAGAAGTTATACCTACTTGACTTATCAACTCCAGGGTACAAATAAGGCAGGGTTCAACCTTTTTTCACCTTCCACTAAAACTTATAATAGAGGAAAAAAAAGGTTACCCTATCAAAAAAAACAGAACACGCTGGACATCGGTGGCTCACACCTATAATCCTAGAGACAGATCTAAGGATTGTAGTTCAAAGCCAACCCAGGCAGAAAAGTCCATAAGACTCTTATCTCTAATAAACCACCAGAAAACCAGAAGTGGTGCTGTGTCTCAAGTGGTAGAGTGCTAGCCTTGAGCTGAAGAGCTGAAGAACAGCACCCAGCACAGAGTTCAAGACCCATGACTGACCAAAAAAACCCAAAACCAAAACCAAACAAAAACAGAACATCACAAAAACCTACCACCAGGATGTAGGATAATTCTCCACTTTCATATATAAATAAAATTGATGGCACTATACAAATACCAGGACTCCATCACATGGAACAGGGATTGGCTTAAAAAGGAGGCAAAGGGCTGGGAAGCTGGCTCAGTGGTAGAGCGCTTGCCTTGCATGCATGAGGCCCTGGGTTCTATTTCTCAGCACCATATAAGCAGAAACAGCTGGAAGTAGCCCTGTAGCTCAAGTGGTAGAGCACTAGCCTTGAGCTGAAGAGCTGAGAGACAGTACCTAGGCCCAGAGTTCAGGCCCCACAACCAACCAAAAAAAAAAAAAAAAAGGGAGACAAGGGAGTATTAATACGGCCTGGCTCCTGAGTCATGAGGCTTAGGAAGCATACTGCCTGAAAAACCTGACAGCCAGGTGGCCAGTGGCTCAAACCTACAATCCTAGCTTCTCAGGAGGCTAAGAATTGCAGTTTGAAGCCAGCCTGGGGAGGAAAGACCCAGAGACTCCAATTAATCACAGAAAAAGCCGGAAGTAAGTGGTGTTGTGGCTCTAGTGGTACAATGCTGGCCTTAAGCAAAAGGAGCTTAGGGCAAGAGTTCAAGGACAGCGCCCAGGCCCAGAGCTTAAGCCTCAGGACTGGCCAGAGAGAAAGAAAAACTTGACAGTCAACAAACAGCATCCAAGATAAAGCATATTGCATCCAAGATAAAGCCTAAGAGTTTCAGTTTTACTAATGCCTTTGTATATTATCTTTCTACACTCATTTAGAAAATAAACTTCTGTAAGATAATTGAGTTGAAAGAACAAACTAGTGGTGTCAAAATGTATCCTGCCAAGTGGCTAACAGGTAATTGCTACAGGTACTACAGACAAGACAAATTGTGCTTTTTCACCTACTCCCTCAAAATAGTGTCAATAAACCAGAGTGCTGGGGCAAGGAGAGTAGAATTGAACAAATGAATGCCTTGCTAACAATTGGGATTTAAGAGAGGAAAGTATGCACATTAATTTGTAACTTAGTGTAGATTTGAGAATAAAATACACCCAAAGCTCAATACAAAGCTTACTGTCAATGGAACAATCTACCATTTATTAGCAAATGTGAAATCTACCTAGATCTTCCTTACAGGATGAGTAAGAAGTTGGGGGGGAGGAGGGGGAGAGACAAGATGTAGGAACAATGAAAAAAAATAAAATAAAAACATAAAACATTGCCAAGCTTGGATGGCCTTGAGTCAGGAGGCTGAGATCTGAGAATGGAGATTTGAAGACAGCCCAGACTGGCAAATGGGCAAGATTCTCCAATTAACCAGCAAAAAGCCAAAGTGGAGTGTGACTCAAGGGGCAGAGCCTATCAGTCAAGAGTGAAAAAGCCAAATATGTGTTCAAAGCCTTGACTTCAAGTCCCAGTACTGGTGAGAAAGAAAAACAAAACATTACCCACAAAAACAAGGAAACATGGGCTGGGAAGGTGGCTCAGTGGTAGAGCGCTTGCCTTGCATGCATGAGGCCCTGGGTTCAATTCCTCAGCACCACATAAGCAAAAAGAAAAAAAGCCGGAAATGGCACTGTGGCTCAAGTGGTAGAGCGCTAGCCTTGAGCTGAAGAGCTGAGGGACAGCGCCCAGGCCCAGAGTTCAGGCCCCACGACCGGACCCAAAAAAAACAAAACAAAAACAAAAAATAAGGAAACATAATCCCTGAAGAGCCAGGATGGTCAAGATTCTTAAATTTACAATGAATTGTTTGGAATTCTCAATTAGAAGCCAAGAACACCTGGATTCCAAGAGTGACCATTTGAAGGGGGTAGGGGCTCCTCATACCTTTAATGCTAGCTAGTCAGGAGGCTGAAATCTGAGAATCACAGTTTGAAGCCAGCCCTGACAGGTAAAGTCCAGGCAGGAAAGTACATGCGACTCTTTCCTCCAGTTAAGTACCAAAATGTCAATTAACTAACAAAATGGAGCTGTGCCTCAAGTGGTAGAATGCCAGCCTTGAGCAGAAAAAGCTAAGGGACAGTATCCAGGCTATAAGTTCAAGCCCTAGTATCCCCACCCAACCCCCACAAAGAAGCCATTTGAATTTTAAAAATTTATTGTGTACTATGTGACAGGAATTGAACTAGATGCTAGGAATACAACAACAAATAAAACATGAATTAGGAAGGGCAGCATGGTATTGAAAATAATTCTTTGAGTGGCTTAAAGCATTTCTAAGACAGAAATGTTAAACTGTATATAGTTCTTCCCCAAGTCACCTCTGTAATATCTGCAATTATGTCCAGTTTTAGTGCACAATCCACACTATTCTAAGTATCCTCCAGATCTGTACTATGATCAGCATGTAATTAAGCTATTAAAATAACTTCATATTGCCTGTAACCCTAGTCAGGAGGAGGAAATCTGAGGATCACAGTTCAAAGTAGACTGGGCAGGGCAGTCTTTGAGACTCTTATTTCCAATTAATCATCAAAAAGCCAGAAGTAAAGCTGTGGCTCAAGTGGCAGAGCACTAGCTTTGAGTGAGAAACTTCAGGGACAGTGCTAAGATCCTGAGTTCAAGCCCCAGGACCAGTGCGTGCGCATGCTCATGCATACATGCACACATACACACGCGTGCACATACACACACAAATTGTGCTTTTTCTAAAAAGGGAGTTGGAGACAAAAAAAGAATACTTTACTTAAGAATACTTTACTTTAAGATCTGAGGATCACGGTTCAAAGCCAGCTGGAACAGGAAAGTCCGTGAGATTCTTATCTCCAATAAACTACTCAGAAAAAGCTAGAAGTGGTGTGGCTCAATTGGTAGAATACAGAGAGGCTTAGGGACAAAGCCTCGCCCTAAGTACAAGCCCCAGGACCAGCAAAAAAAAAAAAAAAAGTGTCCTAGAGAGTATAGTATGGTAAAAGACTGGGAGGCCATTTTATAATAGGAAAGGTCTCAGAAACTGGAAATGTTAAGACAGGAAAGGAGAATACTAAAGGGAGATAGGGCCGGGTGCCTGTGGCTCACGCCTGTAATCATAGCTACTCAGGAGGATCGAGGTTCAAAGCCAGCCTGAGTGGGAAAGTCCGTGAGACTTTTATTTCCAATAAAACACTAGAAAACTGGAAGTGGCACTGTGGCTCAAGCTGTAGAGTGCTTGTCTTGAGCTGAAGAGCGCAGGGACAGTGCTCAAGCCCAGAGTTTAAGCCTCACAACTGACAAAAAAAAAAAAAAGAGGGAGATAGGTTGGATAACTTCAAATATATAATGGCTGCAATACGGAAGAAAGTTATTCTGTGATAGTGAAAGTCTAAACTATCAGGGAGTAGAAATTACAGAAAGAAGTTCAACTCAGAAAAAATTTAGTAACCTAAGACTTCCAACAATGACCCATAATGTTTAATAAAATCATGTCTATTACTGAAATACAAAGACAAAGTCACTTGTCAAATAAATGCATAAGATTCCTGTGTTATAGGATTTATCTTGATATGCTTACTACCTTTTTCAAACCCAGCATTCTATTATTAGTGTACCTATCAAAAAGTTCTTTCTCTACTAGAAAACTACTTCAAATCTCTGCAGCCACGATACAAATAAAATGTATCTAGTGGTGATACGCTTTTAGAGAACTCTTGTCCTATTATTTTTTTTCCAGTCCTGGGGCTTGAACTCAGGTCCTGGGCACTATCCCTGAGCTTCTTTTGCTTAAGGCTAGCACTTTACCACTTGAGCCACAGCACCACTTGCTGCTTTTTCTGTTTATGTGGTACTAAAGAATCGAACTCAGGGCTTCCTGCTTGCCAGGAAAGCACTCTACCACTAAGTCACATTCCCAGCCCTTGTCCTATTTTTATATATGTGTGTATATAAAAAATCTTTTATGTATATATGTATAAATGTGTGTATACATATGTATGTATATACATATATATGTATATATATAAAACTTTTTAACCACATGAATTGGCAG